TGTAATTCTTATTTGTCTAGTATTGCTACAAAACTAAAATATGAATTTATTCAGAAACTTACATGGAATTTTAGCTCTCTTTTATAAGTGTAACAAATCAACATTTTTACTCTACCATTGAAACAGAAGTTTTAGATATTGTCAATTTGCTGAATTCAAGTAAGAGCACAGATTTTGAAGGAATAAGTCAGTATATTATAAAAAAAATGTTAAACATTTTATTGTTAAACCTATTGTTTCTATATGCTGTCTTGTCTTGTTTTGTAGAAATATTCCCGATGGCAGCTATCATACAGCTAAACTGGGATGTGCGTGCAACATGCTGGCATAGTGACGGTGCATGAAGTAATTCAAAACAGTGAATGATGTCTATTATTTACAATAAAACGGCGGACGTGTAAATAAAAACCGAGACGTGGAGTCTACAGTAGATTGGACCCAACATGAGGAGGCAACGCTCAGACGATGGGTAGAGCAGCCTCCTTGTAGGCGGTCACTGTTGGAGATATTACCGCAGCAGCTGATAGGTGGTTCCACGTCCAGATGGTGCGAGGATAGAAGGAGTACTATCTCTCCTTGCTGTCAGGAAAAGTCCCCAGGAATTTTAAAGTAGGATTAATCATACCCATATTTAAAAAAGGTGATCCCCACATATTCTCTAAATTATCGTCAAATAACATTACTCCCATGTTTTTCTACGATATTGGAAAATTTAATTTGCAATAGGTTTTTAATTGCACCTTTAAAAAGGGTGCAGGATTTAACCCCTAAAGGTGCTGCCAGTGTTGCATTGGTTTGCACCCCTAAAGGTTCATACTTGCACCATTTGTTTAGTGTGTATATATTGAGTTTTGATTTTGTTTTCCTCCATTAAAACCCCTCAAACTTATTAAAGGTAACGTGTGTCTTATTTTATATAATTAATTGTTTATTTTAATTGATGAATTAAATGAAAGTAACATATTATATTATACATCAAATTAATTAATTAATTGTTTATTTTAACTCTTAAGCTGCCCCTATGCAATTCACCCAGTGCCACAGTGCTAATCCCTATTGTGCCCGCTACTAATCTCCTGTGTGCCAAGTTAATTTAGGGTTGGTTCAAGTGCGTGTAGTTTAAATTGTTACTATGTTTGATCCACTATAACATCTCATCTGTATATTGTATAAAAAAGAATTGTACGTTAAAGTTGTAAGAAATTTAACCCTCTTTCTGTTGATACCAATATCATTTCATGAATCTGTAATTTTGGTAAAGTAAATAAGCACTATCAGTGAGTTGTCAAACCAATCCGTTGTCTCATTTCCCGCACACAATCTGAGGGGCCATGATCAAAACTGACAAATTTGATGATAAAATATCGCAATTTTCTCAGGAAAATCCAATGTAATGGTATATGTGAAGCACGCAAAATCAAAACAACAATAAACCCCCTCCACAAATACAGTAAGCATTCATGCGTGCACGCAATGCGCATCGCACAATAGGCATAAACAATTAGCTTGTGTACTTATGCACGAAAATGTGTCCGTGGCACGCGAGCGGATGAGAGTTTATGTGTGCATGGCAAGTCAACAGAAACCCGATTATGTGTGCGTGGCACGCCAGCGCATGCACAGAACAGTGTTCTTGGCACGATAAGAGTTAATTGATGAATTAAATGAAAGTAATATATTATATTATACATCAAGATATATGATTTATGTCTAAATAATACTTTTCGTGCAAAAGCCTAGGATGATGTCCACCTATAGTCAATACTGTACTGCTACATTAATGGCCGCACTCGGCACATATTTATTTGTGGAGCACTTTACAAGTCAGGTGTCAATCTATCATAAGTTATGTTTCTATAATAGAAACCAACAATATGTTTCTGTAAAAACAAAAGCAAACGAAAACTGGAAGAAGGAAAGCAACTGAATCGAACTAGTTATATTTGGTGGGGGTTATGTTTATATCGTATCTGGTGTGGTTACTGCTCATGTGTGTCTATCTCTTCGACAAAAATAGCTACTGTCACCATGAGCTCTCTCTCTCTCTCTCTCTCTATCTAAAGCTCTTCAACCCGTGTTCAAGACTCTATTGGGAAATCCATCTATTTATGTTTTAGGTATCTGCCAGAAAGCGAAACTTCTCATTTAATGATGTATAGGAGAAAGAACCATAAAGGGAGACACTGTTATCTTTACTATTTAGAGGAAACAGTAAATCACGCGTTCATGATTAATTAAGGGAAACGCCGGTTGTCCTTTTAACGTTTTTTTTTTTTATTCTCAGTTGTATTAAAAGATATGAATAAGGTTCGTGACAAGTTAAATAACGAGGAGTGGGAATCCTAACTCATTTACTTACTGCAGGCAAGGAAAGTCATTATATATGGCATTTGTAGTCAGACATTTCCATTCTAAAAACAATTGATACATTTGTACCCGTTATTTAGGGGAGGGGGAGATGTTTGTCTGAAAAAAGCTTCACAATATTGGATGGAATTTATCAAAAAGTAAGTCAAATGTTCTAGAAATTGGATAACAATTACCAAATAATGAGTAATATTTCATCCCGCAAACATGATCATTCCTTTTTTCTTGTTTCACCAAATATAAGCTAATTTTACATTTTTTGTCATTTTTCAGCTAGATGATTAGAGTAGAAGAGCAGGAATACATAATATTGTTAAACAATGCCTTTAAACAAAACCTATGCGTCCCCACCCGTTACTCTGTGTTAACGGCTTCTTTTCCTGTGATGTTTTCGTTAACTGGTTTATATATTTCGGTGGGAATACAATTAGAAAAACATTTAAACAAGCCGCAATAATCTTGGCAATACAATTAAGAAAAAATGGATTTTTCAATGATAGGCTAAATTCAAAGAAGCTATATATATACATGATTAGTTGTACATAACTCCGGTTAATTAAATTCATAATATTAAGTGTGACTTTAGTCAAAATTTTATTTTGTATAGTGATGTCGTCACCTGTTTAAATATTCCTTTCGTATAGTAATTAGGTTGTATTATTTCAAAGATTTCTTTAATTTCCATTTAAAGTTGAATTATGCAAACCTCAATTGTTTTATAAAAAATGCCATTCTTCAAAAGTTTTTCTCAGAAGTTATTATTAATCATGTTTGTTTTGTTTGTGACTTGAACCAAACATCAACTAAATGAAATGACATAAATGTATTCAAATAGGAAAAGATTTGCAAAAATTGTAGTTATTTTTGTTTTTTCTTGATTCCTGATACATGTATGGGAATTGCAATTCCGATTGTTGTATACTGTAGATGATTTTTTTTTTTACTGATACCGGTAACGAACAAATATTTACAGTGGATATGGAATCTTGAATCTTGAAGTATTAATTTTGATGATAATAATAATGAAAATATAGTAAATAAAATAATAATAATAATAATAAGAAGAAGAAGATTAAAAGGAAGAGGAGCAGTACATAATCATGATAAGGGTGACAGTAATTAGGACAACAATTGTAATTCAAAACATTACTATTGACGGAATTAAAGGAGTTACATATCCATTTATCCGACACACAAAAATTAGGCGTAGACTTTTAATTGTAAGTGTGTTTTTATTCATTCAGAAGAATGGTACCTTTCGGAATATAGTCGAGTATTGCGATTATATTAAGATTATTACTTTACAGAAAATATGCAATAATACAATTGGGTAAAATATATCCAGTAATGCAAGAAATAAATCGGCCGATGTACCAAGCCAAATAAGCAAATTTTTTCTATGTTTGTAAATATATATATAACTTTATATTGTCTTAGTACTATGTGGCAAAATTCTTACCATCTTTTATCTGTTATCTCAATATTTTAGAATAAAGTAAGGCTGGGTGTTACTAATCGAGAACATCAAACAGGAGGGTTGACAAAATAAGCAAAGCTTGAAAGTATGACTACCCTCAAAGGATACATAATAATATAAATATGGAGGAACAAAATATTGGTTAAAGGGGGAAAGACAGAAAAAAGAAGAGAAAAGAAAGAGGGGATGCACATCAATATTCACAGACTTATGTGGTAGTTGGATTTCAAATTGATATATAAAGATTTTAAAAAAAGAAAAGGAAATGCAAATTTGAATACTGAGTGGCCAACTTGGGATACAATAGAATGAGAAGACTCGCGAGGTTCGGACAGTAAGAATGTGAAAGTAAGATCAGTCAGCTGATTTTAAACCTGGGCCTGCGAGTCGGTGCCTTGAAATGTTTGTATAGAAGACATTGTTTATTCAGTATCCCAAGTAGGCCACTCTTTATTCATACGTTTATTCATACCAGGTCACGGAAGGTTATAATCAACGTTTCAATGAATGGAAACAAAAAAAGTAAACAGTACAGAAAATTATCGAGTTTTGTAACGATGGGTAAACGAGAAGAACTTATTTTGTTGATGGATTTAAAGATAATGAGCAATGAGAAACTTTTTCACCGCTCTTTTAAAGGATAGCATTGTATTCATCGTTTATATATATTTTTAAGAAAACAAATTGTTCTTAACCGTTATACAACTAGGAAAAAAACATACAGTTGTGTGTATGTTCATGTTTATGTACAAAACCATAGTAAAATACATTGAAACTTTAAATTAAAGTGAGAGTTTATTATATACAAATTCGTAATTTTAGACTCGATTTCAACCGCGACAACGATCACTGAATATTGTAGGATCGCATATGTTTCCAATATGTTTATTTGAACCAAATTCATGACCTTATTCCAAAACTGTGTATTACCTTTAAACTAAAGACATGTAGCTAAGAGAATTCATTGCGAGAAAAGTTAATACAGATAGTAAATACTTATGACAAATCAAATTAGAGTAAAATATTCAATTATGATACATAGATGAAATGTAAATATGTCAACAATTACAAACGAAATACGTTTTAAGAAGGGTTTTGAAAGTCTGTCGTGTGGGAGCTTGACGGACATGCAGAGGGAGCGAATTCCAGAGGGCAGCCACTTCAAAAGCCATGTTGCCGTAAAAATAAGTTGAGTGACGAGGAACTTGCAGGAGGTGCTGGGCTGAAGATCTGAGTGTGCGTGCAAGTGGACAAGTGGACCTGGCAAAGCCTCGATTCTACTTTCCATACACAATAGGTGCTTAAAACTGTCACTCCACTTACATAAATACTTTTTTTTAATTTTTTATTTTATCGCAAACCAGTCTTTGATACAATGGTTGCTACAAACATTTCTTTTATTAGCAATTTCCTTGTCATACGCAAACTCTGGACGTCTTAGGCAGATTAAAGTGTTGATATAATAATAACACTTAATTAAAACATGTCATACACTTCCTCATTTCGATCTTCCACACAGTACAATATTGTGTTGCGTCTTTTCAAGTTACTTCATTCTAAATTGTACATGAATCATTTCAATCTTTTGATATCTACATCAGATTATAGTTTGTTGATAATGTGAACATGAAATTTCAATAAAGTACCGTATACAACGCTGGTGTAAAACTATTTGTAATAACCACTCATTAAGTATTCCGGCGTGAAGGATAACTATTTCTATCTTAAATGTTTTATAGTGATTGATTTATTGGTTAGAATAGTACACACATAATGTTTTCGTAAACAATGTTTTGAATACCCGTGTAATTCATATTATTTGCATCATTGTTATGATTAAGATGCAATTCGTTCGTTACTGAACATACTGCAAATAATGATAATGTGGTAGTTAACATTGATTTTACACAAAGGCCCTTACATTCCCCTTATTCACAATAAGTTGACGCACCTTCGGTGTTCACATAAGTAGGCCCCTCCGTCAAATTTGAATGTGCCTTCACTTGCTTGCGGACGAGAGTGGGGCTAACGCTAAGTACAGCATCACCATGATCATCATCAACTGAGGTGGTGGGATTGGAAACCTGTTGGGTATTACTAGCTCGGGATTCGCACTTTAGTATAGGTTTCATTGCCATGTAGGTATGGGTTGTTTCGGGAACATCTGGAACTACATTTGTGAGGTCTGATTGGTCAGTGTGATCCTAAACAATGTCTGGAATATCTGTACTAATTTCACAATAACTTGACGCACCTTTAGTGTTAACATAAGTAGGCTCCTCCTTCAGATGTGAATGTGTCTTCACTTGCTTTCGGACGAGAGTGGGGCTAACGTTAGTTACAGCATCAACATCATCGTCAATTGGGGTGCTGAGATGATAGACTTGTTGGCTAGTACTAACTGAGGATTTGCACTTCAATGCCATATAGGTATGGGGTACTTCGGAAACATCGGGAATTGCGTATGTAGGGTCTGATTGGTCGAAGGTCATGTCTAAAGGCTGGAAACCCGAAAGAGAAATATTTACTTGATGAATTAACAAGAGGGAGGTTGCACGAATCCTTCTCATCGTCGTTTCAAATCAGTTAAAATAAACAAAAACATACATAAATAAACTTGAAATAAACAAACAATTAAAACCATTAAACTCTTTCAAATAAATATACCGAAAGGAAATGTTAGATTGGTTCATCACATAAGTTGAAATCATAACAATATCATTAGCGCATAATCCAGACATTATAGTTTATACTATAAACAGAGTTTTGAAATTTCCCTAATGGGGCTCAATTCCTGAAAATATTTTTGATTATTTGTGCTCACCAAATATCTGAAGTATTTAAACACGCATATGAAAGGTTATTGATAAGTTGAATTCACCTTAACACCGCTTATTGATGTTGGCTTGCTGTTGTGAGATGTTTCATCATCTGGTAGATTCCCAGAGGTCTGTATAGCTGCGGCTGATGATCCTTCAACTAGCGAATCACAAAAGGGAAACTTATTTTGAAGGTGCCAATAACATTATGGTCCTTTCTTAGTCCGTAACGAATCAAATATTTTGGGGCAGACAATCAATTGGTCTCCAGTATTTAAACAACTTATTTTGTTTTGTTTTTTCTTTGGGCGATACTTCTACTGCTCAAGAAGTGTTGTATTTCTAATGTACTTGGAGGAATACTTTACTTTATCATACCATAGTTATATATTATTATGATATGCGTCAGCCCTATAGCTATTGTAAACATTTTTGAGGTAAATGGTAACGTCACCCGCTCATGGTGATAATTAAAACGAGACGTTTTCCATCACGTTCACATATAACAAGGTTCACAAACCTGTCAGCCCTACTGTTCATATGAAATTACAACAGTCTTTCTTCCTTTTCATTCCAATAATAATAATAATATTTAGCTTTTTTTATAGCGCTTATCACAAATGTCTCTAAGCGCCTTACAAATATATTGACATATTTCGTTACGAGTGTAGGCCGTTGGTATAACAAGGAATGGTTATCATTATAATAGTTATTGTTGAATGAAACAGGTTAAAAACAGTCTGTTGTTCCTGATTCCTACCATGTGTCATATTTAGATTTAATTTCATTGTCGTTAGAATACAATTTGACAGCTTGTTTTCTTCACACAAACAAACCATACGCATGAAGACTTCTAACAGTAATAAAAGACTTACCATCTCTCTTCTTTGAGCGGATGAAACCACCCACAAATGCCAGTACAGTTAACAACACCACCACGCCAGAAAATCCAGAAATAACAAAATGAATTTGTTTGCACCATGGTTTTTCCTTGGGTTCTTTAGAGCAAACACAAAACAAAAAGGGTCCGTTAGCAGTTTTAGACATTAATCCTATCACCAATTTATTCTTCTTTTTAACTTGTTTATTATTATATTTCTCCAATGGGAACGCCCTTTCGTGGCGGTTTCGTTTGATTGTGTTTGATGGTCTCGTATTCCTAATTAGATATAACATCAAATGAACTGCGGTATATTGTTATGTGCAAAAGTAGAATCATATTAATGTCAAAATAAGATTTCTAGACCTAGTATTCACATCAGGAAAATTAAAAAAACGATACATATACGCACACACATATGAAACGTTTAATAATTCACACTTTTTTGACCACTCGTAATTTCAAAGTAATTCTTTAAACGTCTAACTTCAAATTTAACTGAGCAATATTTCCCCTGCAATTAGATTACTGCAATTGAATGTCATTGCTCAGTGTTAATTATCTGCATATTCTTGAGTGCCATATGTCCTTGAATCGAAGGGCCGAACGTTGTCGGGCAGGAGTTCCAATTTTCTGTGAAATGTTTGTCAAAAAGAACATGCTAATTTAGTTTGGTTAATTCATTTGTTGTTTTCAATTTGCTCAGCTATTATGCATTTGTTGATTGATTTGGGTGATTGCTCTATTTAGTCTTTAAATATAAAAATGGCATTATTTTTTACGGGTATTACCATTTTTACCTCTTAAGCTGCCCCCATGCAATGCACCCAGTGCCACAGTGCTAATTCCTATTGTACCAGCCACTAATCCCCTCTGTGCCAAATTTGTTGTAAGGTTGGTTCAAGCGCGTGTAGTTTAAATAATTACTATTTTTGATCCACTATAACTTCTCATCCGTATGTTGTATACAAAAATTGTACATTAAAGTTGTAGGAAATGTACCTCTCTTTTCGTTGATACCAGTTTATATGTGCATGGCAAGCGACCAGAAACCCGACTATGTGAGCGTGGCACGCCAGCACATGCACAGAACATTGTTCTTGGCACGAAATTGAATTCAAAGAAAAAAGCAACAATTAAAGCTATTGGAGATGACAAATAAAAAACAATAACACTTATACTGATGATAATAATAATAATAATAATAATAATAGTAATTTATTAATAATGAGCAGGGGTAGGATACACACTAAAAAATAATGATACAAATTTGCACCCTATAGGGTGCAGACCGCTGCTACAATAGCAGCCACCTATAGGGTGCTATTTTGTAGACTTGCACCCTTAGAGGTGCCAAATAGCACCCTTATAGGTGCAAACTAGTACCCTTAGGGGTGCAGACCGCTTCTACAATAGCAGCTACGTTTTGCAGACTTGCACCCTATAGGTGGCTGCTATCGTAGCATCGATCTGTACCCCAAATGTACGACTATTTCTTAGAGGCTGTTCACACCGCAATGAGATAGCGCGGTCTATCGTAGCACCCCCTTTTTTCTAGCGCGCGCTAGACCGCGCTCTCTCTCGTGGACCACTTCCAATAGGTGCTCCAGTGGCACGCCGTTTTGGCTCGCCGTGGCTCGCTGTTGGGCGGACCAAAACGACGTTGTACCTCCCACACCTCAGAGATAGCGCGGTCTAGCGCGCGCTATCTCTGGCGGTGTGAACAGCCTCCTCGTGTGTACCACTTCTGCTTCTGCTATATTACTACTGTTACTACTACTTCGCCTTATCCTACCTATACTACTACTCCTTTTGATACTACTACTCAGTGTCGGATCCTGGGGGGAAAACGTGTACAAACACGTGATTTGTACCTTTTTGGAGGGTAGCCCATTCCCCTTCCCTGGCGCCCAAGGGGAAGGGGGGGGGGAAGGGGGGGTGCAAATTGTTAAATTTTCGAGGCCCCCCCCCCCCAAAAAAAAAAAAAAAAAAAAATGTGCTCAATACCACAATTTAAAGAGAGACTAAACAAGCAAACATAATATTCCGTTGTAAACTCCATTACGGAATTATATAAAACTATTTTTTGCTTCATAGTTTTATATTTTGTGTTGAGTCTCACTCTCTATATCTCTCTTCCTATCGATCCCTCTTTATGTTTATGTGTATATAAAAATATGTATATATATATATATATACATATATCTTCTTACCTGTCATGTTCTTTTCCATTGTATCTTCTTCTTCAGGCTGGTCAATGGCGTCACTGGCAACAATACGCAGGGAGGAAATACTCGTGAAGTTCCAATTGGAATACAGACACACTACGGTTGTATCCTTCTCGTTAGCTGGAAACCAACGAGTCACAGTTGTGTTGTATGTTCCATCTTGGTTGATCCATACAGTTCCATTCCTTCCTCTTGGTGTCAATAGTGGAAAAATAATCGGGAAGACATTGTTTATGGAGCATGTCACGTTGAACCCGTTGGTCTGCTGAACGTACTCAACCACAGGAGAGCTATCCGGGTTAGCTGAAAAAAAAAAATATGTGTATGTATCATAATTTATGTATGTATATACACAAACATACAAGAACCATGAATATTATGTAGACACATATTTATGTAATAGACCGATCAAAGAAAGAAAGAAATAACTGGATTAAGTGCAGGTATCAATGGGAAATTATTTTCCCAGGGAAGCAATTTTTGCTGGTCTTTATAGGTAGGTGGAATTTCTTTTTACATTAGGTCACTATCCCCAGTTTTCGTGTAGATACATGCTATGTTATGCAGATAAACATTACAAAAAGACTACAATCAGTGCCAAATAAGCATCACATGTATCCGGACTTGAAGCCATACTTATTCATATCTCTTTGTGGAATTTTTCATTTGTGATTTTACTTGTTCCCATAGTATTCTCGGAATATGTAGCTGACCCAGTAAAAGCTCAACTTTATACAGACCATAGGAAAAATTGCGCTGAGAAAGTTTAAATGCATTTTCCTCTTTATAAAAACATTTCCCACTTTTGGGGAATAGGTCATCAATTATAGGGATAGTTGAGTTCCGTTGCAGAGAGCACTACATACAATATTTGTGTGGGTGAAATAATGAAATACTTAGTGTCAAATTTGAAAGAACATACAATTTAAATGACAAAATCATCTTTGTTTGATCAAAATCGGTTCAGAGACGGCCGCCATATCCATAAATATAACTATTTTTAATTTTTGTGTACCACCACAAGTATTCGATAGTTTGAACCAGCCGTTAAAAAAACGAAATAGCGCTTTTTACGTTATACTTCAGCCAATGCCGATGTTGGCTTTTTGTTTGCTTTTTCGTGTTTGTAATATTACGCACGACCAGTCGGCCGGTGAATTGTTATAATTAATTAATTAATTAAATGACGGTCACCATGATTTTTAGTTCGCAAAATGCCCCTTTTCAATTCTCATTAGTGCCTTTTCATCTCCAGGGAATGCCCCTTTTCACGTGAAAGAAGTGCCTCATTTTCACTTGTGACAAAATCAATTTTCCCTATAATAAGTGCCCCTTTTCAGTTCTCCATTTTAAAGATGTGCACCTAAATAAAAGCGACTGACAACAAAATTGTATGTAATTTTATTCACGCTCGGAGTTATGGCTGATACAATTATGTTACTTATTAGAGTTTTCTTCAATCAATCAGGATTGTATTATGCTTAGACTCGAATTTTGATTGTCCCCCTTTTATGAGATTTAATATTTCACTTAGTGGCATCACACATTTCGCTCGCAAATGAATATTCCGACTTTCAAACTCAAAATATATCGGACCATGTAAAGAGAGACAAATATTAAAAACATCCCTGATAATGTGATCACAGTGTACATACCAGTGGATTACATCAATATTTGTAATTACTTCGAGGTTTCTCTTTTTAGGTGCCCTTTTTGCAAGAAAGTGCTCCTTTCAGTTGATGGCCTCCCATTTTGGACTTTGGCCTTTAGACGCTCCACTACCAATGGATGTGCATTTAAACAACTAATTGGTATTTTGGCAGCGACCATAAAAGAAACCTTCAAATTGCAATGAAATATCATTTGAAATCAAAATATATTTACCATATATGCCCAGTTTAACATCATGTGTACAGGCAGCAGCCCCACCGACTGAAAAAACAATACACCTAAACAAGTCCTGGTCATGTTGGACGGTTAGATCGTATATAGTCATGGAGAAGTCATCTTTGATACCAAACCCCCGTGAACTACCAGTTCCTCCTTTGTACCCCCACACAAGGGCATTTCCATCCTTTACGAAGACATCTGAGTTACTGCTTCTGTACCATTGAACTGCAATGGTTGATTCTGGACGGATAGGGCAGCTGCATGGTAAGTCAACAATGGTGTTGAGCTCCAACGGAACAGTTATAATCTGTCCATTTATTTCTGACAGAATGAATTGGACAATCAATAATTAACTAGCTTCTTCTAAGTTGTTAATGATTTAATACGTTTAATAAGTTTAATACGCAATGATGATAAGAACACCATCGGCCACCCCCACAACCATAATCAACAACAACAACACGATTATAATAATAACTAGACATGTAATACTTGTTTGGAACAAGTTTAGGTGGGCTGTTCCAACTAACATTTGAGACAAAATAGTGCAAAAATAAGCGAGATACTGTTACAAAAACAATGTCATGTAGACTAGACTTATGATGTGATCAAAATTCGTCTTCATTAGGCATAACATGCAAATTAAGAAATTTCTGACATGTGGCCTTTAATGGAAATTTTCACTATAATGACGTCATCAAAATGGAAATAATGGTGGTGTTTGAGCTTGTAGAGAATTGTCTTAGCTACAACATATCGAAATTTGAAAGAAAATCGATCAATATTTACAGATAGACAATCAATTTTCCATAAATATGCTGACGTCATAAAATGCAAATTCGTATTATGAGTTGGAAGGCCAATATGATGACGTCAGAATAATTTTAATTACCAAATGAGACATGAAATCATATTTCCGCCTCATACTCTATTCAAATATAAAAAAACATGTTTGGGGT